CGCAATGTCGACCGACTATCTCGAAGATGGCTTCAACATGGAGGCAACAGGCTAGGGGATTACTTGGGTGGATCAAGGGGGGCCAAACGAGCCATGAGATGGCAAATACGGTGGACTACAGGACAACGCTGTGTTTACAGTTGGATTCAACATGTTGATATCACAAAGACTGTTTAGGATGGAGGACTGAGATGCACGGGAGACATCAAAGCAGGGGGCTCCCTGCTGGGCAGGTGCTGTGGTGCTCAACGAACTTGAAGGCGTTCCGGACAGGATGTTTGCTTTTTACCCATTGTGAGTTACTGTATAATAATATACCGTAGTCTTTGTTTATCAGATACCAACAGCCACAACTCCATACACACCAGCCAACCACCACTCACTCCTGTCCTTGACCATTCGCCATCCGGCCCTCCACTCTTCCACCCCACCCCATCCATCCCAGCCCCCACCCACCCTTCATAACCCCATTTTCCTTGTTCTCTCTTTCGCACCTCGTCAAGGCAGAACACGGCTCGTCGCAGTCGTTAAGCGCGTCCTTGGCTGACTTAGAGTGTCTGCGGGGGAGAACCTCGCAGGCTTGGACACAGTTTCGAACAAAAGATTTAATCATCTCATCCGCTGCAGATTACGGTTGGAGAAGGGTCTGCTAACGAGTTTCTGATGATTATGAACATTATAAAAATCCCAAGACGGCGTTTTTTCGTGGCTGGCCTTGCAGATAGGTTCTGTGGGCAGCGAGCTTTTTTGTGGGTTTTGCTGCTGGTTGGGGGTCAGCTTCACGCAACCTCGAACCTCGTCAGTTCGAGTCCAGCTTCCAGCAAAGAGAGGATAGGAAAGGTCTCGAAGCAAAATCTCAGTTTGCCTTTTTCCAACTGAAGAAACTGTGAACCGCTCAATGACCTACAACGTTATGACCCACAGTTTCTTCAAGAAGTGAGCAAGATATGTATATATATATATATATATGGCTTGAGCAATCAAACCGAAGGCGTGGCATGTTCGACATGTCAAACCGAAGGGTCACGAAACAAGAAAAAAAAGGGTAAAAACTACCAATACCGGCTTTTTTCGTAACCAGCTTTCTACATTGTAGATAGCTGGTGAGCTTTTTATATTTAGAACAACGGTGTTCTATTCTTTTCCCACTCTCGATGGCGCTTGTGGCATACCCTCATCAAACCAGTCCGATTCCAAGTACCTTATGCCTCCCTTCTTTTTTAACAGCCTCTCCTCACCCCAAACTAACCCCAAAGCAGCCACCCATCACAACCCCCCCCCCTCATACCCCAACCAATTCCTAACCCAAAGTACTGGTGATTTGTCCGCAGCGCAACGGTCAAACACGAGCGCACTTTGGGGGGGTCACGGACGTATATTAAGCTGCCAAAAGCTTAGGATTCGCGTCTCTGTTGCAGCACAATTCTTCTTCTTCACCTTGTGAACCGTTTCATGACCCACAAGAATTAAGCGGAGAATATGCGGCAACATGAGGACTATGACACACCAGAGTGTCAAAAAACAGAGTGTTTAAAACCCGACGTAAACAGGTTTTTCGTAACCAGCTACCTGGCCAGTAGTTGGTGAGCTTTTTATGTGTCGCTCTCTTTTGCATTATTCAGGTGAATAGAAACAATTGAATTTCAACCACGTCAACTAACAACCCAAAATTGACTCCAACATACGAAAACACATGTTTGCTGTTCCTAAAACCATCAACAATTTTCTACATGTCAACAACCCTCAAATGAGAAGAGAAACCGGATAATAGATAAAAATGATGGATGAAGCTACGCCGGTAACATGATTGCCTGGCCATTTGCATCTGCCCTAGCTTTGACCAACTTGACGCCCTCCTCTCGGTTCCCTTTGCTTGTCCTTCCCCCCGTCCTTAACACCATCCTTGGGCCAGTTCTTCTCTTCCTCTTTTTGGTATCCTGTGTGCTTTGTGTTCTCATAATTTGTTGTTTTGTATGCGAGAGATGCAATGAATCACGCAGTGTAATTTCAATGACAAGACATTTCGCAATGTATCTAGTACACCTTCTTCTTCTCGTCGATGCTGAACTGGCCGGGGCCGCTGTTGACCAGCAGGAGGAGACCACCGACAATGGAGAGAATCTGGAAGAAATCGTACTTGGCGAAGTCCTTGTGAGGGTGGTGCTCGTGGAGCTGTTCAATGGGGTTAGCGACTGGCATTTTTTGCTGACTCGGAGAAAAACTCACAGTCCAGAAGTTGTTCACAATCACGTTGAACACGCTGAGAATGACGACCAACAAGGTGGCGCTGAACTTGGCCTTGAATCCAACAACAACCATCACGCAGGCGGCCAGGCCCAACAAGCTGACAATGATGCGGAGAACGGACCACTCGCCAGAGAAAACGAAGCCGATGAAGAGGAAGATGAGCAGAACACGACCGGCGAGCTGGAAGTACATCTTGCGGTCCTTCTCCTCGAGCTGGGGAAGTCCGGCAAAGGCCTTGGTCTTGCGCACCCACGAGTCGGAGAGAACCATCAGGAGACCACCCATGACCGACAGGTTACGCAGGAAGAAATTGAGGTCAAAGATGAGACCGTACCCGAGAGCCTGCGTGACAACTACACCCATAAGACCGCAGACGGCGTACTCGGAATGCCGGCGGATGATGACGAGGGTTGAGCAGATGGCCATGACGATAACGTTGGCGATCAGGAAGAGGTGGGTGAGACCGGAGGGAACTAAAAGACAAGGGTGTCAGTCCTATTGTCGCGAAGCGCATTGCACAAGAGTTCCCCTAGAGCCACGTACTGTGACGGTAGTCATGGAGGTAAAGAAGCTGGTCGTTCCATTGTGTTATTATTCTGAGAGCGTCTTCGATAAAGGTCACGACGATGAGGAAGCGGCCAATGGCGGGAAGGAAGCTATTCAGGACCGAGGTTAGCGATCAAGCCCAGACCCGACGGGAGAAGCCCTCCATATCCGGAGTAGCAATTGACTGCGACATACGGCTTGATAGGCTCGCTGAGGGTATCCAAAAGATCCTCAATCTTGCTGGTTTGCTGGCGGATGGTGTCCAGAGGACTCTGTTCCACCCTCTGATCGATGTCTCCGCCAAAGGGCGCCGGCGCGCCGATGCCGTAGCTGCCCTGTGCTCGCAATTGCGCCATTGAGACCGTGTCGGCGGGGGTTACTGGGGAAGAATGGTCGGGTCAGGCGATCGCAGTCCTGCTGGTAACAATCCGGTTGTTGCGAAGGTGAAGTTGTGACGGGAACAGCTTTGGATTTAAGGAGGGGTCCGCTGGGATTAGCTTTCGTGTGCAGCTTCGGGTGGATGTCGGCTTGGGCGACAGGGAAGACGGGGATATGGAAAAGATGAAGAGTGCGCCCAGGCAGAAGAGGAAGGATCACGGCGAGCTAATTCACTACCGGGTGTTGCGAGCGAGACGCTTGTGCTGGGGTTGGTTTGTTGGAGTGGTGAGATTTTGAGGTTCTGAGCTCGGATGGGTCTATCTACAACTGTGTCCTTAACCAACGTCAACCCACGGCCGCCGCAAGGAAAGGGCGAGGATCGTGGGTGGGAGGCGTAGTGGGGCGGTACCCCGGGCTTAGCCGCTACAAGTCGACGGTTCATCCCTGAGCCGTGCTGAACGCTAGGCTTCAGGTACCCTCTAACAGGAGCTACCTCCCCAGCCCCGCTCCAGGAGTTGTTTCGCCAGTGGCCAGATCGAACAAAATACCCGAGGCCGAAAGAAACCACCGCCTCGACCAGTACGCTTGTTTCTTTTATTCTTCTGTGGGTTCATTTCACTCTCCGAGAGATGCTAATTGTATCAAACGGGGCTAGGCATCTGTTCGGAACCCGCAGCTTCGGGCACCCAGCAAAGATGGACGTCATCGATTCTATTGGACAGCTTCAACCTCACACATTCCTCGAGGCACTCACTCACTCCCAAGACGTGATGCTATCAAATGGATTGAGTACCTGCCACTTCCGAGTAGCAGTTTATCTGGCCACACTTCCGCCGTATGTGTCCTGGGCGGACGGCTAAGTATGGATCCATTGCTCCAAAAGCCCGCAGGTGATGCGGGGGAGGTGCAGTAAAGGGTAGGTATCCTTCCGGGCGGAGACCTCGGGTCGGCCCACCGTTTCCGGCCTTCTTCGGAGGGTATAGCTCGGGCCCGTTCCTGGGTACCGGCTACCTAGCGCTGTTGCTCTAGATAAACTGCATCTCCAGCCACCATTTCCATTCTATAATATTCCTTGAAAATTGGTTGCTGACCTGACTGGACACTTCCCTCAATCAACTGATTGCGAGTCTGAGAGACGTGCTTAAGCGGCTGGCTTTGACCTCGGCCAAGACAAAGAGCAACATTTTATTGTGTTCTTTTATGCTGATCGTTTTTGTTTCGCAGAAAACTTTTCATAAGAGGAAAGAGCAAATTGAACTACAAGCGACGGCAAGCCTGAGCGTAGAAGCTTACTCACAAAGAGAAGGACTAGTCAAATCCTGTCATTGTGTTCGGGTTTTGGGTCGAGGCTTTATCTTTTTTGACAAGCAGTCAACACTGATTGGCCCCTCCCTTTCTTGTCAAAGATCAAAATCTTCAACGACCCAGCACAGAGACCCGGGCTTCTGCCAAGTAACATGAAATACCTACTACCGAACAGGCCGCCCCGAGCCACCGATATCTTTTCCCCTCATCGGACCGAGTCCCTTGACCTCTCCTTGTCTCCCATGTGGCAACGGCGAAGCCGCGCAAAGGAAGCAGCTCAACTTTCCACGCGTGATCTTCAAGACCATCGCCGACAAATCCTGCCAACTTAATGACCTGCCAGGGGGGAGGCAAGATCTGATGTCAGTGAAACAGACCAAAAAGAGATCAAAGTAACACGAACCACAGTCCAGACAATATGCCCAACTTATACACCAGATCATCCTTCAAGAATAAGCGCCCATATCAAGTGTTGGCCACATAGTCTAATAGAAACGAAACATGATTGTGCCATGACCACACAGCTACCGGGACTGAATTCCGTCGGGAAACAAGAACATCAGGCTTACCACGCCGTTGAAACGAGGTCTGACTTGACCCCCAAAATAATCTGTAGCCAACCAGAGGGTAAGACTACCACACCAAAGTCCCGTTTAGGAAGGCCGAGATGGAGGGTGGGGGAAGTCCAGTACACACACCTCTCCTCCATCAGAAAGACAGAATAAAAACGCCTCACCCGCGATGTGAAAAGTGGCAGAGAGGCGAGCCCGTCCGCCCGTCAACTTTACATATGCAAATCATCGTGCTCCTGTGTCTTCAGCGAACACATCTAAGCAGGTTACTTACTCACCTCTCAAGTTAGGTGTATGCTAGCGAAAGCCAAGAGCTCTTGATTAAAAGCTCAGGTACAGCCGTTAGTTGCTAGCTGAAGAACCAAAATCCCACCTAAATAGCCTGATAGACTTGCAGTGCTTGCGTACACACACATCCCCAGAAATAGCCCCCCCCCCTCCCTTGCTCCACTTTGGCCAAACTCCCCAGATTTCTGGTTTGAGAAGATCAATAAGCGATTCAGCGCGGCTATTTCATCTTCTGGAGGGTAAATGTGCCGTATTGGCACTTATATGATCACGCAACTAGACATCCAGATACGCACACTCCCAGCTGATGTACGCTCGGCAGTGCTGGGCTCTGCCATCCCAGATACAACCTCGCAAAGGCCTGATCAGCGACCCTCCTCCCACATCCCACCTCGTTTGCCTCCCGCATCCCACTGGCTTGGGCCAACAGCCGGGTCGGATTGGGAGGTGCGAGATTGGGGATGCAGGGTACGGGCTTCATCTCAATTTGTTTCGTCAATGTACCTCATCGTCACGAGATGAGAATAACTCGCTCGTCAGGGGTCAGCATCTTTGACGGCCCATTCGGCTTGCCTCATATTTTACAGCTCAAGCAGCTCATCCAACGATGTGATGATCGTGTAAATTTGAACTCATGTAATTCAAAGACTCGAGAGTCATCACGGTGTATCTAGCATGGAGTAACCAAACACTTGAAATTTACATCCAAGCCCCTAGAATAATATCATAACCAAGGACGCCAAACCCATGTCTCAATCCCCACCTTTCCCTTCCAGTGGTATCTACCCACCTACCCAAGATTATATACCAAGCAAAAAAAAAAAAAAATTCTTACTTCCTCCCCCAAGTATCCCCCTCAGGATACCTCGGCGGCGGGCTCCCCGTCACCCCCTGGCCACCGCCACTATCCAACTCAGCAGGCGCCGGCACCGGCGGCGGCGGCGGTGGTGTATATCCAAAAGGAGGTAGATACCCCGGCTGCGGACTCGCATGCGCAGAACTACATCTCCTTGTTAGCAACCAACCCATCTCTCACCACATCAACACTCGAGAGAAATACTCACCGATGCCCAAGCCCATAACTCCCCTCACTAAACCCCGTATGCTGCTGACTGACATACCCCGGTTGCGCACTCCCCGGCGGGCTGCTCCCCATCCCAGCATGGTATCCTCCCCCTCCACCGACAACCGGACTCCCATGTTGTCCAAACTGCCCATAAACCCCCCCATCACCAAACCCAGGAACGGTACCACCCCCCCCCGGACTCTTCGGATTATAACTAGCAGCCTCAGCCATACTATTCCCCCTCCCCGCCCCAGCAAAGCTCTTCCGATAAGCCTTATCAAACCCACCCCTCCTCCCACACAAGTACAGCAACACGGCCGCCAGTACGACAACCGCCGCAGCCCCAATCGCAATCCCCGCTATCGCTCCCGGCGTCAGCCCCCCTCCCCCATTGTCGTTGTCGTTATCGCCACTAGGAACAGGACTCGCCATCGGACCATTCTTAGCACTCTCAGTAGGAAACGGCTCCCCCGGCTCCAACTGGAGCTTAGCCTGACTGGCCAAAGCAAGCTGGGCGTCAAACGTGGCCGTGGAATTCGGGTTTATGACTCCGATCATCTGCCAGTCGGTGCAAGAGCTTGGAGCGGCGCAGTAGAAGAATATGGGGAGGGTGTCGTTTACGCGGACTTCGTAGGAGGGGGGCTATACAAAAAGGGGGTTAGGACAAGATGGGGGATGTAGAGGGGAGGGGGGAAACATACCGGATTGAGAATAGCCTGCGGATTAAACACCCCCGTCCAGAACCCTTCCGTGTTCCCGTTTACGTATTCGTAGGGTATGCACGGGAAGCCGAATTCTGCTCGGGAGACGCGGTGGCCGCCGGGGTAGAAGTTGAACTCTGCAGAGACAACAGCGTTAGTATATTGTTTGGACATGGGAGAGGGGGAACGGACTGATGATATCCCCAACATTGGCAGTTGTTTCCTTTGGTGTAAAGGCGTGCCCCTCAAGACCGACAGCTATTGTTCTTGTTGCTGGGGGGGTTGAAGTCGAAGACAGATCGGAAGCTGTTGGTGTCGGGGTTGGGACGACTGATGATGTGCTCAAATAGGTCAACTGAGCCATTGCTGTGGTTGAGAACGCAGCCAAAAGGCTGAGAGTATGTAATGAAACCATCTTGTGTGCTGATATATACTGGTGTATGAACACCAGGTATATGGAACTCTCCGTGTTGCAAGAAAAGAGCAAAACCAGAGCCGGTAAACAACCGCGGGTAAAACGGGAGGGGGCTTCTGTCTTAAAAGGTTTCCCTCTTCAATTGCTGACTGCTGCGCGTTTGAAGCCACAAACAGCGGTGGGTGGGCGGTGGTGTGGGTGTGGGTGTGGGCTATCTTCCCACTCGTCGAAAGGCGTAGCAAGATCAAGGTGGGGAGAGAAGAAGAAGAAGAAGAGAGGGGGGGTGTGCAGTAAGTCTGTCTGTCCTGGTGGCAAGGATGTCGGCACCGGGCCTCTCGATTGCTGGCGAGCGAGCCTTGTCCTCACTCGCAGGGAGCTGAGAGTATGTGCTCGATAAAGTCAGGATGCAGAACCAAATCACGGCAGTGGACCACAAACCTCCTAGATTTGGGGCAGCCGACCATTATGAACAAACCACCACCACAGATACAACCACATCAAATCGGGTGTCGCCATCACCCACACAGACAAAGAGGCTCAAAAAGTCGGATCACGGCTGCTGCCCCTGTCCCGCGCCAAGTGGAAGACAAGAAAACGTGGTGACTAAACAGTCACAAAGAATCATCACACAAAGGGGTCTAGACTGATGTGGCGGAATAGCAACATCAGCATAGCCTTGGCTGGAATCCCCCCATCTCCTACTGTCTCTTTCGAGATTCGAAGCAAGCCCAAAATTCGACGTGCCTGTTGTGAGCAGCAGCAGCAGCAGCAGCCAAGATAGTGAGATCCCTTCCTGCCAAGGGGCCCTCTTCATGGCCCGACAAAAATAAACAAATAAAGACATAAAAAGGCTACCAACACTCGTTGGAACCCCATCCCCAAATCTCTACTGTTTCGTCTATTCTCTCTTCTGGCCCACAGAACCAAAGGCGAAGAACCTCCGAGTAACCTCAAACGGCCCTTTAAATCTGTGGCTTGACGTCTGCAGTCTTCCAGTTCGCAGTTTCACCACCATATTGTCCCAAAAAGGCAGGTAAAACCAAAAGAACAAATCAAAAAAAAAACGTCAGCAGAAAAGTCCAGCCCACTTGATGGCCGCCAAGGAGGGACGACAGATCCAGTGGAGCTGCCAACTTGCCAAGAGCCCATCAGCCGATACGGATCCGCACATAGGGCCGCGAGGTGCTCGAGGAAATCCACGATTGGTCGGAAACATCACGACCTTCCCCACTTGAAGCTGGTCCAATCGTTGCCAAGGTCTGGCTCTTACCGTGTTGGGGATAGCTCTGCGAATCCCATCCTCAGCCCTGGGAACCCTGTAAACTTTAAAGGAACCCTCAAGAAGATACAGAGGCCGGCAGTTGCTTCACACTCAATACATCGAGACGGTATTTGGGAATACTGGACATATCGTTTGATTGTCTATGTGTATCGCATTGTACATGCCACGGATACCCGAAGCCGGCTGATGTTGGACTGGGGGCGGTTGACCATCATGTCATCCTGCGGTGAATATCATCGCCTAACCGAACTGTTGGTCCTGCCTGTGGCTTATGCCCGTAGGAATTTGCCTTCCTGCGCCGTCAGATAGGATGGTTCATCGATTTCGCTTGTGCTTCGAACAAGGAGATTGTGCCAAATTAATGCCCAATCTCAGCATGATAGCTAACCACAATATTGTTGGAGTATGGATATTTTGCTCTCATCGTCCCGTCCCGTCCACCAACCATCTCATGGCCAAAGCAGCAACAGCCGTCGGGAGCAGCGCTGGCAAGGACTTTTGGCTAGCGTCGTGGTGAAATCCGCCAGTCTGGATCCCTTGCGCCATCCCCGCCTTTGGATACTGTCCCCCCAACGCCAAGGTCCGAGCCTCCACATGTCGAAGAGGGATCCGGAGACAAAGTGCGACATGCCAATTGAGTCGCTGTCGTGGCATATTCCATGCTCCGGGTTGTTGAAGCCTCAACCCTGCCACGGTGAATGGCCGAAGAGCGATGGGGATCCTTCCGCTGACAGTTGGTGAACAACGCGTCCCGATTGGTTGTGAGGGATGTTTGTTTCCCGAGCTTTTCGACATCGAGATATGTATATCAAACCATCGGTGACGGCCGTCCACATATTCAAGAAATCGTCGACACTTCACTAGTGCTGATCTAGTTTGTTTTGGCCTTGCTCCTCTTGCCCGCCAAGGCCTGGGGCAAAATGTCACTCTGCAACACCAGTCTGCTAAAGCACCATAGATAGCACAGGGCGAAGCCAGCAGCTCCTACACCTACGTTAGCCACAACCCACAAGTCTGGCTTGTCCGAAGGCGGCTGTAAGTTAAGTTCGAGCACATGCCACATTGCCATGGCCAGGTAGAAGGCTCCATGAATCAAAGCCGTGACGATCTTCTTGAAAGATGCTTGACCGTCCAGAGTGTAGACGCTGAGCGAAGTTGGCGGTAATCCAAGAAGGTAGGCCCAGAGCAGCGTCAGTACAGCGTATGGCACGCGCAAGTCGACCCTCTGCAAAAGAGGGAACATGGTCCAGCAGCCCAGAATGTTGGCGAAACCAACCCAGGCCCTGATTTCCTTGCTCAGTCCCTGGCTTCCTGCCAGCAATAGTGTCATTGGTGCCAACGGAAGCAAGACGCTCTTTTCGTGAACCTGATAGCTGAACAGGAAAAAACCCCAAGCGGTTGTTGCGAAGGCCAGAGGGAGGAGATCCTTTCTCGGCCGGACCAGAAGGATCAGGTTGGGTGGAATGATGGAAGCGAGGGTCGCAATCAACGACATGCGCTGAAGCAACTCGGCCGGAAGGTGCTTGATCTTGACTACCACGTTCAAAGCACACCAAAAGTTGGCAACCTTGTCCTCAAACAAACCGCGGGCAAAGGGAAAGACCCGGTGGACCATCTGAACGAGCTGCTCCACGATAGGGTAGTAAAACGCCTTGGGGTCAAGATAAGCTGCCAATCCGTGGAACAATGGTAGTGGTGCTGGCTTTGACCGAATGCCCTGCTTCCACTCCTTGTAGGCACCGAGGACGAAAGGCAAAAGCAGAATAGCGAAAGCAATAACCGTAACTAGCGCAATCCTGATGAACCGCAACACGTTGATCTTGGGAGAGAAGCAGCTCCCAAGAAGGAATGCAAACACCGGGAAAGCGTAGTACAGCGCCATCTGCTTGAACCCAAGAGCAGCAACGAAGAAAACCGCAGACCACAAGTATCGACCAGCAAGCATGCTCGACATGCTCGCCACCACAAATCCAAGCATAACGGTATTGTACTGAAAATGGATATGATCGATCAGGATGTTCCCCGGTTGCATGAGGATGGCGGCGAGAGAAATCGAAGCCGACCAGCTCGTAACGCCGCTTAGCCTGCTGAAACGACGGACGAAGATGACGACGGCGGGGATGTAGATCAGGTATTCAGACACCATCACAGTCCCCCTCATGAATATCTTCAGGTTCGGATCATGTACACCGCGGGACTTGTAGAGGGCGAACCACGAAGGATCAATGAGCGAACCGATCTTGCCGCAGAGCCAGCTGTGGTAGGCCGTCAATGGTGGGTAATCGAGACCCCACCATTGCAAATCGTGAAAGTACCATTGCGTGATGGGTAGGTGTGTTGTAATTTCCATCCAGTGCCTCTGTGCCTCGTAGTCGCCGAACATGGGTGGTTTCTGGAAGCCTATGTAAACGTCAGTCTTCGGACAACATTTCAGAAACTGAACAGCGAACTATACCAGAATACCCCCAAAGACTAGCCGCCCACCTAAAAAGACCAACGACCATCAAGATTATGGGGAGTATCTCCCATTGCGACGCAGAGCCCCTGGCGGGCCAGAAGAAAGCTGCGAGGGGGAACGATGGGGCGCGTCCTGAGGATTCGACAGAGATCGAGTGGCCGAGGTTGCTGGGCCCGCCAGCTCCTTTGGCCTTTCGCCTTGGCTTGTGAGGTGATGGCGTGTGTCCTGCCATGATCGCCGAGTCTGTGGTGATTTCAACAAGAAAAGAAGTCCAAGTGCGCGTCTCTGGAACTTTTTGGTGCCGCTGACAGCAATCTGTCATGTGCTGTGGAGTTCCAATTCGTGCCAGGTGCTCCACTTGACAGGGGAGCTGCCCGTGGGGTTTCTTGGGGAAAGCTCCAATCTCCGGTCGACAGGGGTCCGTTTGCGCCCAGCGACACGGTCCGCCAGCAGCTGCCCGTGACCTGTGATGTCACCCCTGAAAAGAGCTGCCCCTCCCCTGATGAACCCCTCGTCGCGCCTATCGTGAAGCTTCACAACTGAGTTGGTGATGTTCTATTCTCTATATATGCAACGTCTCTAACCAAAATGCCTTACCCCTTCACCCTCCCCACCACCTCCTCCTTCTCCTTCTCCTCCTCCTTCACCTGCGAATCCCACCCCTCCCTCCCCCTCAACGCCAGCACCCACCGCGGCGTGGTCCGCGACACCCTCAAAAAGTTCAAACGCTTGCCCCCCCATTCCCAATTCCCCGCCCTCTCCTCCCTCATCTCCTCCCTCCACTCCTACCTCCCCTACCTCTTCGCCCTCGACGCCGGCCTCACCCCCCACCCTTCCCACCACCACCCCGAAGAAATAACCGTAACGCTCCTCACCGCCCCCCAAATCCAATGGCGACCAACCCTCTCCTCCCTCCCCCCCATCCCCGGCCGTGAGCCCCCCCGCCTGAAAATCACCTCCCTCGAATACGACCTCTTCTTCACCCTCACCACCCTCGCCGCAGCCCTCACCCTCCAATCCCGCCTCCACCTCCACCCCCTCTACCTAACCACCACCGCCCCCGTCGGAACCACCCAGCGCCAAGCCGCCATCTCCTCCGCGACCAAATCCCTCCTCGACGCAGCCTCCATATACGACTACCTATCCACCCGCTCCGAATCTCTTTCCTCGCCTCCCCCGTCGAACGACATATCCCCCCCCACCATCCGCGCGCTTCGATCCCTCGCCCTAGCCGAAGCAACACTGCTAGCCGTCCTAAAAGACGACCCTTACCCTGCCATCGTCCTCCAGCAGCGCAACGAGAATGACACGGAGTGGATGTACAAATCCCCCGACATTCCCAAAGTCCGCGCCCACCTCTTTGCTCGGCTCTGTCTTGCTGCTGCGGAGCACGCTAGCCAGGCTTATGCGCTGGTGAACAGCCACAAGATCAATGCTGATTTTATCAAATACCTTGATGACCTGAGGCGGACGGCCAGGGCGAAAGCCTGTCGGTTTTTCGGGATTGATGCTGAGCTGGGAGGGGAGCAGGGGAAAGGGATAGGGTGGTTGTGGGCTGGGTTGAAGGAGTTGGGTGTGGAGCGGGAAGGAAAACATGGCTCCTCTGGTAGTGGGGAGAAGGCAAAGTCGTCGTTGATGAAGGGGCTCAAAAAGGAGTGGACAGAAAGGAGGGAGGATAAAAAGATTGAAAAGGGGCTGGATTGGGGCGCGGATGCGGGGAGGTTAGAGGAAAGAAGGGTGATTGAGATGTTGGAGGGGAAGTGGGTGAGGCAGAATGATACGGTACGTTGTTTGCTGGGCGAAGGGATCATTGCAAATATATATATGGCTAACAACTTTCAAAAAAGATCATGACACAACCCATCCCACCCATCGGCCCACTGTTGGCGCAAATGCCTACCGGTCGAGAAATCCATACTGTCAAGCCCTTCCAGCCACCACTGCTTGAACCAAACGTTTTGGAGGCGATGAGAGCGCCCCCAGACAGGTCAGATGAATATGGGAACTACCCCAGTTCAGACGAGGAAACAGCTGTAGATTCCTCCATTGCGGGCGCCTTCCCCGGCACACAAGGGGAATACAGGACAGGAACACCAAATTATTACTAGCAGCTGACTGATATAATGACATTTGGGGACATGATCACGAAAAACTACATATATCACAGAGCCGGGGAAAAGCAAGCGACCGTTCTATACCCTTTTTTTTGTAACAAGAAAACATGATATCATTTTTGTTTTCACCATAAAGCGAAACCTCAAGACACACCTACCCCAAAATATATACCTATGAACCAATGCTCCCGTCTCTGAAAAAGTCCTAGTGATTCCCCTGTCCCGGTTTCCAAGGAGCCCTGACAGCCGGAATCTTGACTCCTCCTATCACTGTGCTGCCATATTTTTGTTTTATTTTTCGCTCGACGCCGCCCTTATTGACGAAGGCGGGCCCCTTCAAGCTCTTGTTCATCCTCCTCCTCTGATTCCTCCTCTCACTTCTGTTTTAGCCTCCTTCTCCTGCTGCTTCTTTCTGATTTTGTCAAAAGCCCCCTTTTTCGTGTCAGCAGGCTTTTTGGGCCTCTTGGGCCTTTCGGGCTTCTAGTCCTCTGGTAAATCTTCCGGCTCCTCCTCTGATTCCTCCTCTCGCTTCTGTTTAGCCTCCTTCTCCTGCTGCTTCTTTCTGATTTTGTCAAAGGCCCCCTTTTTCGTGTCAGCAGGCTTTTTGGACCTTTTGGGCCTTTCGGGCTTCTAGTCCTCTGGTACGTCTTCCTCCTCGGGGGTGTCACGGCGCTCTTTCTTCTCCTCAACGGGCCTCTCAGACTGCTGCTCCTATTCGTCATCATCATCATTAACAACCCGCCTCCTGCGGCGATGAGAAGCAGCCGGGGCGTCGTCATCATCATCCCCATCAGCATCCTCCTCCGGGTCAGCCGTCCTCTGCCTCTTCGCCCTCGGCCTCTCATCCTCATCCTCATCATCCAGAATATCCTCCTCCTCGTCATCCTCGACGACATCATCATCTTCGTCACTACCGACCAAAAACCCGTCGTCCATGTCGTAGTTGTCCGTGCGGCGCGCCCCGCTGGGAAGATCATCGTCAGAATCATATTCAGGACGGCGATGCTTCTTCTTGGCTCCGCCCGGCGCACCACGTTTCCTGGATCCTCCCGCTCCACGCCTACCCTCCAAGTCGCCAATGGAAAGAGCCCCGCCCTTGTACCGACTCCCTGCTCCCTCAGAGCGCGCAGCCGCTGTCTCCCGACGGCGCTGGTTCTTTGCCCGTTCCTTCTCGGCGAGCTCGGCCTCTCTCTTCTTGCGCTCGGGGTCCTCGTTGGTGGCGATGAGCCTGCTGGTGGTGCTCTCCTTCTTGTTCATATTAAGACCTGCCACCAGGCGGTCGAAGGCGGCATCCTGGAGTTCCTCGGGAGGCTTGATGGAGTATTGCTCGGTGTAGTGACCGACGATTAACAAGGAATTGGTCGTTAGATGGGCAGCTGCCGCGTATTCATGTGCATCCTTAACGTCTTGATACGGCTCATTAGGCGGTCCGACGAGTGAGTTGGATGTGATCTCGTAGTGATCGTCTCCGATCTGGAGGGTCGTGGAACCATCGCTCCATCTGTGAATGTTGGCATTGCTCTTAAGCTTCCCCGTCTTGTGATCGCGGCGCCACATGATTGATGGGATGGGGTTTTCGGAATTGGCATTGTTGAGCTCCCACTTGGAGGGCTGCCACTCGTCGGGTTTGTATTCCACTGGGTTGAACTTGAGGAAGTTTGGTACTTTGAGGTTGTGAAGCTGTTGGTGGGAACTATTAGTGATGCATTGGAGCCATTGATACAGAGACCCATTCTTACCGTGTTGTCTTTTGATTTTGGGATTCGATGCCGGTAGAGAGGGATCGATTCGGCCAGGTGGTGAGAGTCTCTATCCTCACGCGGGTAATCGTCCTCATCTTCGATGCGGTCACGGTCATCCTCTCTGTCCGATTCCAGGTCGCGATCGCTAAGCATATTGCCCTGATCCGACATCACCTCGTCCCCCTCGTCTCCAAAGAGGTCGTCACCACCCTCCTCGGGGAGGTCGATAATATCCTCCGAGTCGGACATGATGGAGGAATTGCCTGTTGTTAATCGGGTTTCTTTGGTAGAATCGGATGGAAAACGCTGTCGCGATCGAGTCTGATGACAGGTAAGGCGATCGTGATTTTCCTAACAATAAAGGAAAAGGAAGAGTGTGAAGGACTGTGGAGTGCGCTTGGAAGGTTTGCGGTTGCTCTCGAAGCTCGACACCACCGGCGGCGCGTTGCCGATTGGAAGTGTGGCTCAAGAACGCGCTAAGAAAATATCCGATAACGATAAGAATTGGCTTGGTTGGGTACATGTGGCGGTGCATATGGCGGGGATCCCCTCCAAGGTGGTGAGGTGCTGGCACTGTCAGGGGTCCAGGCGCTCCAGCAGCAGACCGATTCGATACAAGAAACAATTTCGTGACGGGGTTTAGTCAACGCTACATCGTACGAAAACACCTTGTTTCAACCTGTTTCCCGGACGGCTGCTCTCCAAACAAACTCACACCGACAATGTCCAACCTCTTTTTTGGAATGTGAGTCGCCTCCATCCGCTCCGTCTCCTTTTCCCCGCAAACCTCCATTTTTCGCCAAAGCCCTCCCCCCCCCCCCCCCATCTCGGTCCAGCGAGCCCAATCTCCCAATCCGCACCCAAGAGCGAGGCAAGAGCTTCTCAAACTCAACTCTTTTGTGTTTTTGCCCCTGTTTTTGGTTGATTTATACATCTGCCGCTCTACCAAGTGGTTGTCAGCGCTTGCTGCTTGCTGCTTGCTGCTTGCTGTATGCAAGGGTAGCTGGGAATGGGTTGGGCCCTGCAGTTACCATGCCGCCTCCCAAAACGTTCAGACCCGAGAACCTGGGTTTGATACAAACAACCCAGTCACATTCTCAGCTGTCGATCAAGACCACGCTGCTCAGATCTCCCTCTTCATGTTTTAGATTGGGGAAGAGATGGATATAGGGGCTCTGGCTCTCAGACCAGGCAGTAATAAAAGATCCACAAGTGTGGTTTGTTGCCCAACCGGGCACCCTTGGCTTGTTTCAAGTACAAGGCTGTCTGTTTCCTTCTTCTGGTCATCCAAAATAGTTGACACAAGGAGAAGGGGGGCGGACTTTGCTGAAACTATTTCGATCTTCTGGGCCTCTTGCATATATATTCTCCGCTCTACAACACACTAGCTCGGGTTTTAGCCGCGCTGACACATATATGTTATCTAGAAACGCCCGCTTCAGAGGCCAAAGAAGCCCAAACTCACCCGGTCCTGAACAGCAGCAGCACGCTCAGTCTCCTGTTCTTCCTCCGGAAATCCAAACACCCACTTCCACCACCTCAGTCAAGCTCCCACCACTTCCTACTTCGCCATCTCTGGCCGAGACCATCGGCATGGACCAATCAAGTGGCATGATCCCCACCGCAGAGGAGGTTTTGACCTCATATCACCTCCCCCCAACCAAGCCGCTCTGGCTAAATTGCAACTATGCAAAGCACATTGTCAAGGGTAACTTCTTGACCCTCAGCGCGAAGCCCAAGACTGTGGAGATGGGAGAGTGGGTTGCTCATCAAGGTAAGCTAGCAACATGCCATGGCGGTCAAGACAGGGGCCGTACATTGACCAATGTTCATAGTTGTTGACCACTGGCGAATGCTCGTAACATTCATCCGCCTGGTGCACGACAAGGAAGAGGATGGAACATCTATCTGCAACTCCAGAAGGTGTCCCAAGATGTCAGCCGGAGCGTAGGTGACACCCAGCAAGACCGTATCATCATCACCCACTAACAATCACCAGCAACCACTCCTTCACCTGGTTAAACTCCCGGCTCCAACCCGTCGAGATCCCAGCATACGAGTACCTCACCCTCGTACAACGATACATCTCTGGCAAAATCGACGACAACAACATCTTCCCCTGCGACCCATCCGGCGTTTCCTACGCCGACAACCCGGCCTTTTGCACCCCCGTCCCAGAATCCGGCCAGGAGTGGATCGGAAAGAGAAGCGGCTTCCCCCAGAACTTCATGGAGACATGCCAGACCATCTTTCGGCAAATGTTTCGGGTTTATGCCCATCTGTACTGGTCCCACTTTGACGACCTGTTTGCCCTGAACCTGGAGAAGTCGATGAACAGCTGCTTTAGCCACTTCATCCTGACGGCCACGACGCTCAACCTCCTTAAGAAGGCGGATCTGGAGCCGATGCAGCCGTTGATTGATTTGTGGGCTGCACTGGGGACTTTTCCTCAGGGGAGCAAGGCTTTTGAGGTGGCGAACTTGGCTGTGGGACAGCTGTTGGTGCAGAAGGCGGGTGGACCCCCGCAGAACTAGGTAGGGGGCGTTTGTTGGTGGCTAGCGGGCTAGTAGTGGAAGAAGGTGAAGGAGAGGGATGAATATTTTGGAAGGGATTTTTTTTTGGAAGCATGGCATTTTTGGTGCGCGGGATTTCGCAGATACACACACACAGACACACACACACACACACATCTGGGCTTGAGAGACATGGCGAAACTAAAAAGGACAAGACCGGACACAGGGTGGAAGTTGTCGTGTCGAAGAGCATCAAAGTTACGTTGCATTATATACAAAGGGGAAAAACTGGTAGTCCTGCTGAGTTGCATGAGCTAGAACATGAAGGCAATACAATCCAGATTTTATAACCATCTCAAGTGACCACTAGTTTATGTGTCATTATTGTTTGTTTATTATTCATATCATCTACTAGGATATACCTCATGAATGATTATACAGCTTGTACCTCTCTCTCTCTCGTCCCAATAGACATCTAATCTCCGCTGTACACATAGTTGCTCTTCCCTTTCATCCACCTAATGTCACAACAGCAAAAAGCTGTTCCTAACAAGAGCAAGTGGTCAAAAAAAAAAGAAAAAAAAGAAACCTATACCCCGTCCCGGCCCCTAGGTACTCCAAGTGTGTGTATGCAAAACAATTCAACCGTGCCCAACCCCTCCCACCCACCCTCTCAACCCAGTGGTATCCAAACCCCCAACCACTCTCCCCCCTCCCCATCCCCCCTCGTCTTTTCAGACAATATTATAAACCCTCTTCGCAATCAAATAACACGCCAGACCAAAAACCAACAATCCCCCGGTGATACACCAAAACCAAACCAACCCCGCCTCCGACTCCTGCCCCGGCACCAACACATTCATCCCCCACAGCCCAGTAATGATGTTCATAGGCAGTACAATCGTCCCCAGAACCGTCAACTTCCCCAGCACATCCGCCGTCTGCTCCTGCCTCTCATTCATCCTAATGTTGATCTGCGCCAAATAATTCCCATGAGACCTCGCCAAGATCCTATATCCTTTGTCAGCACTCACCACCAGCCTTGATACCTGACAACAGGAAGACTTACTTCTCATAATGACTCAAATTCGACGTCATCGTCACAATATGATCCTGAATATCCCCCAAATACAACCCAATCTCACTCCTCGGTGCAACCTCCCAATGCTCATTACACCTTTTAGCAAACCCCTTGATCACATCCGCCTTGTTCCCCAGCAACCGATACAAACTCATCACCTTCTTCCTGCAATCCCCCACCCGCCTCAGCATGTCCCTCCCCGCCTCGGCATCGTCCCCCAACTCCCGCTTCTCATTACTACTCCCGTCCTGCTTGTTATTCCTACTACCATACGGATCCGTCGTCGCCGCGGCAGTAGTCGAGTGCAGCTGCAAAATCTCATCATCAATATCGTCCACCTCGTCCTCAATGCTCTGAATCAACGGCCCAAACACGTCCGTGATGTCGTCGATGATCGCGTAGCTGATCCAGTCCGACGACAGGATCAGATAGTCCCTCAGCTGTCGGATGCGCCGGCGGACGTTGGCAGGGTGGGGCGTCACGCTAAAGTGGAAGCTCAGCACACACTCCCTAAACACCACCACGTACATGTTCACCGGCTCCATGAAATTCTCGCTTGACTGGTCTTGGTCAAAAGACCGGTAGTTGACAAAGTAGTAATGCCGAAACAGTTCCACCTTCTCCCGCTGCTCCTGCATCATGATGTCTTCTGCTGTCAACGGGTGGATTCCAAACGCCTTGGAGATGATCTTCATCTCTTGCTCTGTTGGACTCAGAATGTCAAGCCACCAGACTGGGCGCTCGCCATACCGGATGGGTTTTGGTTCCTTATGGGGGGTGGGGTGGAAGTTGTTGTTGTTGTTGTTGTTGTTGTTGTTGTTGTTGTTGTTGTTGTTGTTGTTGTTGTTGTTGTTGTTGCTGCTGTTGTTGTTGTTGTTGCTGCTGTTGTTGTCTGGTTGGGGGGATTTGACATGGTCAGGTACGGGGGATCGCATGCGGGAGGGGGTGTGCTCCCCAGAGTAGGCTTTTTGCTCACTGTGGTGTGATTTGGGCTCCGTCGACATCGGCCGGCCGTTGTTAGCGGATCCGGTCCGTTCTCTTCGAAGCTCGGCGAAATCCTGGTGTTGAACGTTTGCCGTTGTGCTAGTTGCGAGGGACGGTTGACGGACGGGGATTCGAGGGTCGCCGTTTTGACCAGCCAACACCTGTGATAGGCTGACTGTTGGGTCCTCGTCTTCGTCCTCGCTCTCGGAAGAATCTGACAGGATTGGGGGGTCTGGGATGAACAGCTCCTTGAAACTGCCTCCGGGCTGGACCAGTTCTCCAATAGTCTGGCTGTGAATGGTGCTTTGGAACTCTTCGTTGAAGTAGGTGAACCGGTAGGGTGCTTCCTCCTCGGCCTGAAACCAACCGCGGTGGACAGGCCGCAGTCTGCCGTTGATGAGCTGGGGCTCTACCATCCTCTTCACCCGGCGCTCCTCGCTACGTCCCTCCTTCTCGACTCTACTCCATTCATTCAACAGAGCAATATCTGGCCACTTGCGGCGACGTCTCCGCGCCCGCCCACGGTAACCATGAGCATCGCGAATCCCAAGCTCGTCGTCGGCAATATCAGAAAGGCCCTCTTGGGGAAAGCACACATCCTCCTCAGCCTGCAAAGCAGCAATTGTCTTCCTCCTCTCCAATGGTGAATTGTGGAACGATTCATGGTCGTCTTCGTCATAATCCCTTCTCTGCGAATCACCGTTTTCAAGCTCGTCGCGCAGCAAAGCATCGCCGAAGCTCATATCCATGCGGTCCAGTGGGCGCATCGGAGGCGTTCCCGGCACCGATGGCGGATAGTTGACATTATAAGTATCGTTCCCGGATCCGAGGAAGCGTCTCTTGGAACTGCTCCTGCTCGATTCGTGACGACTGCCGGGGCCGCTTCTTCGAAGAGTAGCTTCTCCGGACCCATAGCTCGGGAATGTTTCGCCTCGTTGGAAGACAGAGCTAGATAGGAGCGGTGCTCCTTCTCCGTCTTCCTCGCTGGTGTCTCCTCTGCTCATATGCTTCAGTCTGCTACCGCCGGGCGTGGCGAGAAGGGAGCCGCTCGCTGTCATCATAGACGGACGTCGGGGTCGGATGAAGGATTTATGTTCTCTATATTTGTGCAATGTTAGTGATGTCCACTGCGCAATGAGTAGTGCAAGAAAAGGGATCGGCGCACCTGTGATCTAACAAAGCATCGCTGTCGAGGCTTGTGTTGCTCGCATTACGACCAGGCCTGGAGTAGAATCCTTCACGGCCAGTGCCCATATCCTCAGGCCTATCGAGTCCGGACTCGACGTCATCGGGAGTAAGGCCGGCGAATGACTTTCTTCTAGTCTGCTTCTTCTTCTTGCCGCCCCTGTGATTCTTTCTCTTGCGTGGCGCGTGTGCCGAAGTTGAAGGCGCATTTGGTTCCATTGTGGAGGCTTCGTCGACGATGTTTCTTGTCCTTGAGGACTGGGACATGCGCTGAGGGCTGATGGATGCTTGGAGGCGTCGTGCGGCGGCAGCCTATAGCGGTGGATTCGATTGAGCTTAGAACATGAGAGGGCTGTGCCAATCGCGAGCGCCTCGTGGAGCGATAACGGGGTCAATCGGGATGGCGTTGTTAGAGGGTAGGTGTGTGAATAAGGATAAGTATCACACGACCGGTGGATGATAACTGTGATTTGCTGTTCTTGTTCTCCCGGCGTGGGAAAGAGGATGACGTGAATGGCACCGGAGGCGCAGGGAGAAGATGCGAAAGCAGGGGTCTGTCTCGGCAAGCCCTGGGAGCTCCGTCTTGAAGATGATTGGCGCCACGTGCAGCCGGTCGAAAGAGACTTAGGTTTTAAAGCGCAGACAATGGTTCGAGTATTTGTGTTCACTCTCTCTCTCTCCGACACGATGGTTCAAGAAATAAAATCTAGGAATCGTGTAGCTTCAAATCCGAATGGGAAAAAAATAATTTCGCCGGCCGTTGGGTAACGCTTGTCCCAGGTCCCTGGTGATGTCAACGGGAGAGGGGGGAGCCGTCTGGTGGAACCCTACTTACTAAAAGCGGGCTGAGGATCATGGCTCCAGCATCTGCTTTTGGGTCGAGCTTCACTCCATGCATACATACTATGTGTCAAGCTGGAAGCTTGGATTGATTCAGATGCTTGGCTCACTTGATGGTGACCACTTTTTATTTCTCTCGTCTCGGTGCATTCCGGGTAGGTGGGTGGTCATCACCATAGCTGCGAGGACTTTGATCCAGCGAAACTAGACCCGGGCAACCTACCATCTTCAATCACTTATACTAGTTAAATAGATATATACGTGCAGACACAACTATCAGCGCCCCGGCTCCACTATTTCAATATCTTGCCTCACCACATATCACTGCGATACCTGAAAACTCAAATCACTTTCTCAAGATCATGGCCTCTGCCCAGACGGGTGGCTAAGATGAAGGTCCAGTGGCTAGGTTTTGGCAAGTGGCTTGTGTTGAAAATGGCCTGTGCATCCTGAACTTCCGGGTTACCCATGCCAAGCCCATCCTAACCGCAAACAACATCTGAAGATGGGGTCGCCCCAGTGTTCACCATGACAACGTCAGATCGGCTCCGGGGAAGGGAGACTCTGGGATGAAAGAATATGAAGGATTTTCCGGAGTGACCATGGCGGACGCAGGAACGGAGATCTCCTGGGCCTCAGACAGCAATTGCAGCGTTGAACCCGGTATATCTGAACCCTGATCAACAGATGAAGAGAAAAGCTCGCACGGCCCTTTCCTAACCCCGGCCAACCCGCTGGCCCCCAAACTGACAAGTGCTTGCGTTGCTCACCGACGTCATTATCGCTGGCTCTCCCACCAAAGACACCGTCGCATACCTTATAAACGCAAGCTTGTTCCGGCTCGGCCTACACGCACCTTTGTCTCGTGAAACTGAACACCTACCTCCACTTCTCACTTTCAGTATCGATTACCTGAACCCGAACAATCAAACCGACCCGTCGTCCACCCGCTGTTGGGTGCTACACTCTCACCACCACAACACACCAACACCGCACCTCGATTCACCATGCATCGAACGTACTCCATGCGCGCCACGAGGGCGCCCACCGCCTCGCAAATCCAGGTACCACCCGCCCAGCACACCACACCTCTCGTGACACTGAACCCCTCGCTGACATGGCCTCTCGCAACCAGAACCCACCCCCGCCGCCGTCGACGACCAAGTCTGGTCGTTTCTTCAAAGGAGGACTCGGTGAGCATTGCGCCCTTTCTTTTCTCTTCTCGGGACCATTTTTCCTTTGTAAATCCGTCTGGGAACTCACAATTTTTTTTGTTGGTGTTAACAGGAGCACTAGGGCATGCTCTCAGGGGCAAGACGGCCGGCGCCTTCGGGCCCGACCTCGCCAAGAAGCTGGCACAGCTGGTCAAGATGGAGAAGAATGTCATGAGAAGTTTGGAGTTGGTCGCAAAGGAGCGCATGGAAGTAGCTGTAAGTTTTGCTCTTGAGACTCCAGCGCGAGAATCTGGCTGACGAGGTGTCACACAGCAACAACTCTCCATTTGGGGCGAGGCCTGCGACGAAGACGTTTCGGATGTCACGGACAAGCTGGGAGTGCTGCTCTACGAAATCGGCGAGCTCGAGGATCAATATGTCGACCGATACGACCAGTACCGCGTCACCATGAAGAGTATTAGGAATATTGAGGCTTCGGTGCAGCCCAGCAGAGACAGTCAGTCTTTTCGTTCTCTTTCCGAAGCACGGCATGTGTTAACACCAGACAGGAAAGCAAAAAATCACCGATCAAATCGCCCAGCTCAAGTACAAAGAACCCAACTCCCCCAGAATAGTCGTCCTCGAGCAGGAACTCGTCCGTGCCGAGGCAGAGTCCCTCGTTGCCGAAGCCCAGCTCTCCAACATCACCCGCGAGAAGATCAAGGCCGCCTACACCTACCAATTCGACGCCCTGCGCGAACACTGCGAAAAGGTGGCCATCATCGCCGGCTACGGAAAGCATCTGCTCGAACTCATCGACGACACCCCCGTCACACCAGGTGAAACCCGCGCTGCGTACGACGGCTACGAGGCTAGCAAGGCCATTATCCAAGACTGCGAGGACGCGCTCACCAACTGGGTCACGCAAAAGGCGGCCGTGTCTGCTAAGCTCTCCACTCGCGCCCGGACTCTCTCGACCAGACGCAGGAACAACATCAAGGCACGCAGTGAGGGCTTGGACCTGTCGGGTCAGGATGCGCCGCTTAATGATCAGGATGGATGGGTTCCTGCGGGACATCACCAACATCATAAAGATGAGTATAGTGAGGACGAGGACGAGGACGAGGATGAGTTGGAGGGGAGGACGAGTCATTCGGTGCTGGGGAGTGAGGCGGGGTTGAACGGAGGGGAGACAAGGGGACGAAGCCAAGAGGCGGTTGTTGCTTAGGAGAAGGACCACAACTAGCGTTGGGGGAGGAGAGAAGGACGGGATGGGTGAGAAGCTTGGGGTTGAGCGGTGGCTGTGATGGTGGCGGGTTTGGCCGAGGTGTGAAAGGGAAATCGACCGTAATTGGTAATGATTTGAGTGAGATGGAGGACAAACAATGATGGGGTTTCCTAAGGATTTGGTGTGAGAGCAAGTTGTTGTTTCTCTTTTTCTTCTCAGGGGTGTGTGTGTGTGTGTAGTTTTAGCGTCGATTCCCTTTGCGGCACGAATTCTTGTTTTGAATGACTGATGGGTAGTTGGTTAATATGAACATCTTTTTTTTCATTTTTTTTTCATCATCGTTATTATGAATCATGTGATTTCGGCAGGTACGCTAAGTAAAGGTAAGGTAAAGTAGCTAACTAATTTCTACCTTGCGTGTTGTTGTTTGTTGTTGTTGTTGTTGTTGTTGTTGTTGTTGTTGTGACTGTTGCTGCTGTTTGCGCTCTGTGGCCTTGAGTTGACTGGCGAACTCTTCGACTTCGATCTTTGTGATGTATTGGCCTGGTACGACGACTAGACCTAGGTAGCGGGATGTCATGTCCATGACCACTTTTTTGGACTGGGGGTCTGAGCTTGCGGCTGCGGCGGCGGCTGATTGGAGTTGGGTGAGGGGGGGGGGGCGGTATTCGTAGGTGTGTTGGAGGACGAGGTTGCAGTCCTGTCGAGGGGGGGGGGGGGAGGAGGGGAAGGTTAGATTCTTAGGGAAGATACAGATTCATGGTTGAAATGTCATGAATGGGTAGGTAGTGTATGAAATGACGATGTGTGTGCGGGTGGGGTGTGTATGGGAGCTTACAGAATCAGTACACTTGAAGCTCCCCCAAAACATCCTCCCGTCCGTGGTGCCCACCCTGAGGTTCTTGTTTAGGAGCGTCTGCAGGAAGTCGGTGGCCTCGGGCTTGGAGGAGGGGGAGGGGAGGGCGTCGTAGTTCATTATCGCTTGTGAGCGCGCCGCGTTGGTTGTTTCGGGAGAGGGGGAAGAGGGGGGGTTGCATAACTTGAATGAGAATGAAGAGAGAGAGAGAGGGAGAGAGGGAGAGAGGGGGAGAGGGAGAGAGAGAGAGAGAGAGAGAGCTGGCAGCGTGGGTGGGTATGGTATGGAGGGGACGTGTAACCGAGCCTGCTGCTTTGATTTCAATCGCTTGTTCTCTGGTGGGAATGGGTGGATTTGATGCGTGAGAGTGGAGGGTGGGATGAGACAGGATAGGTAGGTAATTGCTGCGCGAGGTGGAGGGGTGAGCCCGTTGGGTTGGGACGAGATGGAAGTTACCCAAAGATGGGGGGATCCACTTTTAGGGCAGGAGATTAAAAGTATCAAGTGGGAATCGTAGGAGATGGCGAAGTATGAGGTTTACAGTTCAGCAGGGTAGCTCTCATGAAAAGAGACTCGTACTACCTTGGATATACTATACAAACCTTTTCACCTAAGCGCAGTGAGGTCAGCACAAGCAGGGAAAGTTCACAAGGACCTTGTTCGTCGTTGCTTATCCGCACAGTGCACCCCGGAGAATATCAACCAATAGATTAGCCTAGATAAGACCAGATGGCAGGCAGCCGAGCAGGGATGTTGCGTATCGCAGTCATCCGTCATAGAAGGTAAGGTGACTTCCAACATTTCACTTCTCGCGATCAGCAACTCTGGTTTGACTTGTTTACCTCTTCCAACTCCCATGACGCGCCTTCGTCTACTTGATACTTTTGGAGACAAGGAAGCTCTCCCATGATACGCTCTTTCCGTTCTGGGTGATCCGCCCAAGGAGCCCTCTCTTCTCGACTTGACAAGCGTGATACCCTTGGTCCCAGCCCACCATGGGTGTTCAAGGCCTCTGGACCGTCGTGCAGCCATGCGCCCGCCCGACAAACCTCGCGACGCTTAACCGGAAGCGACTCGCTGTCGATGCCTCAATTTGGATCTACCAGTTTCTCAAAGCTGTCCGCGACAAGGAAGGGAATGCGTTGCGAAACAGTCACATTGTGGGCTTCTTTCGACGGTTGTGTAAGCTGTTGTGGTATGGAGTCAAGCCGGTGTTTGTGTTTGACGGCGGGGCACCGGCTTTGAAAAGAGCGACTTTGCAGGGGAGAAGGAGGAGACGGGAAGGGCGAAGAGAGGATGCTGCGCGCACGGCGGGGAAGCTGCTCGCTGTGCAGATGCACAGGCTGGCGGAAGAGGAGGAGGAAAAGAGGCAGAGGAGGATGGCGGGTGCGGATGATGAAGAGCAGGAGGAGCTGCCGAGTATGGAGAATATTGTCTATGCGGACGAGCTGGGGCTTTCTAAGCAGGAGCGCCAGAGGAATCGCAAGTTTCACAAGCAGGATGCGTATCATCTCCCGGAGTTGCAGAACGGGATAGAGGCTATGGGGAAGCCGGACGATCCGAGGATCATGAGCGTGGAGGAGCTGGAGGAGTATGCGAGGCAGTTCAACAGTGGGGAGAACATCAATCTTTATGACTTTAGCAAGATTGACTTTGATGGGGAGTTCTTCAAGAGCTTGCCGCCGGCTGACAGATACAATATTCTGAATGCGGCTAGGTTACGAAGTAGGCTGAGAATGGGCCTCAGCAAGGAGCAGTTGGACGTGATGTTTCCCGACCGGATGGCCTTCTCGAGATTCCAGATTGAGAGGGTCAAGGAGAGAAACTATCTCACCCAGCGGCTCATGCTTGAGATGGGCATGACGAGCACTGACATGACTGTCAACGCCAGCCGCGTTGCTGGCGACCGAAACCGCGAGTACATCTTGGTCAAGAATGAAGGCGCCGAGGGTGGCTGGGCTCTTGGTGTTGTCACGAGGGACAAAGACAAGGGCAAAGCCCATAAGCCTATCGACGTCGATGCCTTGGACTTTCAGTATCAAAATCCGGACGACGAAGACGAGTGGGAAGACGAGGAGTTTGAAGACGTTCCTATCGAAGGTCTCAACCGTCTCCCCAAGATCACGAGCCGTGCTGCCTACGAACGAGCTCAAAACTTTGGCTCTGTACGACAACAGCTCTACAACTCCCTGCAGGGTGATGAATGCGAAGAAGACGACGACGAAGCTCTATTCGTCAATGATGGTGAGGTGATGGCGGCCGAGGATGAAGAGCTCAACCGAGCTATTGCACTGTCACTGGAACAAAACCATGGTGTGAGCAAGGAGAAGGAAGACGAAGACGAGGATGAAGAGTTTGAAGACGTGCCCGCGCCCACGTGGACTCAGAGAGCGGCTCCGGAAGTATCGAGACCAATCGCAAGTACCAGCGGGACCATGATTGCGCATATTGTAAACAACAGAGCGAATGCTGCTGTGAAGAAACCCCAGGAAAAAGACGACAGCGACAGTGATAGCGATGGAGATTTGCACACGGCGCTGGCGGCGGCGAGAAAGAAGCAGCCAAAGCCAAAGCCTGTCCAAAAATCAAATGTCAAGAACTCATTCGACGGCCCCCTTCCATTCGAGAAACTTGACTGGCGAAGCGCGTTTGGGGGGTCGAAGCCTTCCGCTCCTGCGCCAAAGCCTACAGCTGCTGTCGAGACAACAGAGAAGCCTCGGCAAGTAGAGACTGGTGATCTGGAAGCGGAATCCGACGAGGAGGCTGGAGGGTTCATCAAAGAACCGAGCGAGACTGCCAAGGCTGAAAAGCCCGTCGTATCTGAAAAAAAGGATGACGATGAGCCTCTCCCACTACCACCATGGCTTACGGACAATACGGATATCACAGAGCATGTCCGACGTCAGCAGCAAATCGAAAACCAACAGAATGCCGAGGATGAGGAGCTGGCACAGTTCCATCAGCTCCAAAGGCGGAAAGAACAATATGTGGAAATCGAGTCCTCGAGTGACGATGACAGCGATATCGAGATTCTGGATGCACCACCCGAATCCATAGTTCAGACGCTGCTCCGTGCCAGGTCTCCACCGGGGAGACCAGGCGCCAGCTTGCCTTCATTGCAAGATGACCTTGACAAAAAGACAGCCTCGAATGATGCGGAACAAAATCCAGCAGCAGCCATAACACCTCCTCCAGCAGAAGAGTTTGAAAGCAGCGAGAGCCCCATGGAGCTGGATGCTGTCGGGAAGCAGCCTTCAGAGACCGCCCCTCCTGCTTCGGCTCCTCAAGAGTCTGAAGACGAGGATGTGGAGTTTGAAGACGTGGTCGTTCCTTCAGCGGGAGAGCCATCTGCCACCCCATCAGCTATCGCCATCGACGATACCGAGGCCTTTTTGGAAAGCGGTGATGAGGAGGCTCCCGATCTCCCGCCTTCAGAACAGCCCAGAATCGAGGGGCTGGCCTCTCCTATCGACTCGGACGAGATCTTCACCCGGGATGACTCCCCAGAATACGACGAGTTCTACGACCCCGAAGAAGAAGAACTCCTCGCCCAAATGGCCGAAGAAGCGGAGGAACACGCCCGGTTCGCCAGCCAACTAAACAACAAAACCCAACGCGAGAACCAAGAAGCCTACGAGCAGGAACTCCGCGCCCTCCGCACCCAGCAAAAGAAAGACCGTCGCGACGCAGACGAAGTCACCCAGGTCATGGTAACAGAATGCCAAGCCCTCCTCCGCCTCTTTGGTGTCCCATACATCACGGCACCGATGGAAGCAGAAGCCCAATGCGCCGAACTGGTGCGCCTCAATCTCGTCGACGGGATCGTCACCGACGACTCGGACACCTTCCTTTTTGGCGGCACCCGAGTATACAAGAACATGTTCAACAGCAACAAGTTTGTCGAGTGCTACCTCCTTCGTGACCTGGAAGACGAGCTCGAGCTTTCGAGAGAGCAGCTTATTGCACTGGCGCAGCTCCTAGGGTCAGATTACACCGAGGGCATCCCGGGTATCGGTCCCGTCACGGCCGTTGAGATCCTATCTGAATTCCCAGGTCGGGAGGGTCTCTCCGATTTCAAGACGTGGTGGGAGGACGTCCAAAGCGGGAAACGCCCCAAGGAGGCGGATGCTTCTTCCCCCTTTCGCAGAAAATTCAGAAAGGGTCAGGCTACCAAGTTGTTTCTCCCGTTGGGGTTCCCTTCACCGGCGGTGTTTGACGCTTATTTGCATCCAGAGGTGGATTCCTCCCAGGAGCAGTTTCAATGGGGGGTGCCGGATCTGGAAGGGTTGAGACAGTTTCTGATGAGCACGATTGGGTGGAGCAAGGAGAGGACGGATGAGGTGCTTGTGCCGGTGATAAGGGATGTGAATAGACGGGAGGCGGAAGGGACGCAGGCGAATATTACGAGGTATTTTGAGGGGGGTGTCGGGAGCGGGACGCAGAGGGAGGCGTTCGCGCCGAGGAGGGTGGGAAGGGGTGGGGGGGGGAGTAAGAGGATGGCGGAGGCGGTGGGGAGGTTGAAGGCTAGGAGGAGGGCGGGGGACGGTGGGGGATTGTCGATGGAGATGCCGGTTGCTATTCCTGCGGAGAAGGGGAAGGGGAAGGGGAAGGCGAGGAAGAGGAAGGCGAGGGAGGCGGAGATCGTTGAGGAAGAAGAGGTTGTGGGTGAAGAGGATGAGGTGGTGCGGGAGGATGAAGAGGTCGATGATGATGATGATGATGATGATGATGTTGTTGTTGTTGTGGTCGCTGGCAGGAGTAAAGGAGGCAAAGAGGAGGGGAAAGCGACTGCTGGTAAAGGGAGGGGACGTGGTCGAGGGAAGCGATCCAAGGCATAGCCTGACAGACGTTGTCATAGGATATTGTACAAATATGATGAGTCAATTGAAAAATAAAATTGAAAAATAAAATAAAATAAAAAAGAAGTGCAAAAAACAACCCCCTGGAATCGAACCGCATGCGAAGGGCAGGTGTCAGCGTCAAAATCCCCAAACTCCTCCTCTCCCACGATCATGAAAATGAAACCTGGACAAGGAAGATGTCTCCTTTTCCGCCAGGTTATCAAACCCCCACTCGGGTAATGACCATGGAGCGGATTTTACCTCTGACAAAAGAGACACGGAGGGAGAGGGTGATGGGGTTGTGGTTGTTGGATTTTGGGCAGCGTAAAATGGTGGAGTCGGAGGCGGTGCTGAAGGAGATGGGGGATGGAGGGGAGGTATGATGTTGAGGTGTTTATGAGGAGTTATGAGGAGTATGCGGAGGACTTTTTGTAGATGGCTTATCTTTTGAGCATTGTTGTGGGCTTCAAGTTGGAAGTTTACTTGGGAACAAGAACGGGCTAAAAATCCTGTCAATCATATGATGGACAGGCGGTGCGAACTTTTTGAGCACACATCTCTCCATACCTCGATTGTATGTATATATATATATATGTGTGTGTGTGTGTGTGTGTGTCTGACTCTATTCTCTAATCTTGCTCCGTCTCCGTTTCTTCTACCTCTTCTCACCTTCTAACCCCCTCACCCCCCTCACCCCCTCACAACTTCCCCTGCTCCACCTTCTTCTTCTTGGGAAAAGGCGCCCTAGAATACTGCAACGGCAACCTAACCCCCACCCCAAGCTCGCTCGCCACCTTGGGCACAAACTCTGGCTCCCTCAAATACTGCCTCGCAACCAGCACCAAATCCGCCTTGGCCTTGGTCCCGTGTTCACCATCCACCTCTACCGTCCCATCACTCTCCACCACATCCTTGGCCATTTCGGCGTTGGTAATCATGCCCACCGCTCCGATGAGCATCTTCTTGCCCTCTTTCCTGAGATGCTCCCTAATCTCGCTCGCCAAATCAACTTGATAGTACGGGTGCACTTCAATCTTCTGGGCAGGGTTGTTGCCGCCAGAGGAAACATCCAACAGATCAACGCCCAGGTCAGCAACGAGGGAGGCAATCTTTTTGGATTCGCCAAGGTCGAGGGAAGGTTGGCCAAGGTGGGACATCCACTCCGTCGCTGAGATGCGAAGGAAGAGGGGCATGGATTCTGGGATGACGGAGCGGACGGCGGTGATGATCTCCACCAAGAGACGGACGCGGTTCTCAAAGGGGAGGCCGCCGTACTGGTCGGTTCTTTGCTTTGGGCGGTGTTAGTACAGTTCCAGACCGGAAAAGACAGAGGAGGGTTGACTTGCATTTGTGATTGGGGACAAGAATTCAGTGAGGAGGTATCCGTGAGCACCATGAATCTCAATGAGGTCAACACCGGCCTCCACCGCCCGCCTAGCAGCGTCCTTCCAGCTCCGAACAAACCCCCTGATTTGCTCCAACGTCATCTCCTTTGGCGTGGGGAACCCCTCCGCCCAGGGGATGGGGCTGGGAGCCCAAAGATTATCCGGCCATCCGCCCAGTTCTTCGGTAGCCACCTCCTTCCCTAGGGTGCGATAATGCCACGGGGCCAAGGTAGACGCTTTGCGCCCGGCGTGGGCGAGTTGGATCCCTACTTTTTGTCCCTGGGAGTGGATGAAATCTGTCACGCGCTTGATGGGGGCAATCTGGGAGTCTTGCCAGAGGCCCGAGTCTTCCGGGGAGATGCGGCCGTTGGGGGTCACGGCGGTGGCTTCGATGATGGTGAGGGGGGTGCCGTGGAGGGCGTACTGCCCCAGGTGGACAAGGTGGAAGTCGGTCAGGTGGCCGTTGGAGGCCGAGTACATGCACATGGGGGAGACGGCGAAGCGGTTTTGGAGGGTGAGGCCGCGGATGGTGAGGGGGGTGAAGACGGTTGGGACGGGGGTGGCATCATTCATGAGGGCGGTGCCGGCTGGGGGGTCTTGGGCGGGTGTGTAGAAGGGGACGCCGGGGGCAGGGGCGCTGGCGGTGGGGAGTTTTGAGACTGTCATTGTTGCTGTGGTTGTGATGGTGGTGAGAGAAGGTGTGTAAAGTGTTGGACAGGGAGGGGTATGAGGGTGAGGGGTCAACGATGTCAATCGAGGAAGGGGTGCCTGCGTCACGTTGAAGACATATCCAGGATCGTCACCGGCAGCGAAATGATAGGTACTTATATATATTTCTCGATCAGATAACAAGGTAAAGCCGGCAGTTGGTTGCTGAATAATACCAAATCTGCCCACCAAATCCACCAAACATGAGGGGGGGGGGGGGGGGCAATCGAGATTCCCCGCCGGTAACCGTTTGCCCGATTTCCAATCCAGGAATTCGGGCCCTTGATGGTGTCATCGGCCACGCATGTAGACGGATCGGATCTTTGCTGAGTAAACGCCCGGAGAACGAAGGGAACAAACCACCCAGGAACTCGGGGAAGGATTTTCATGGAAACATTTCTCAAGCTTCAGACGGCCCGTACCAGCAATCCATGGGCTTGGATATCGGGCAAGTGTCGGTATCACCGCTGCTGCACCTGGCGAACGTGGTGGGATTAGCCCCGGTTTCGCGGGACGTTTTTGTTCAACGCTGAATAATCCGTGTTTTCAATCAGCAATTGAGTTTCAGCCGCAACGACTTTTTTGGTGTGTCGCAAAAGATGAAGGGTTGTCCGTGACGTCGAAAGTGTAGAGGGGCAATGATGTCCCGCTTTTACTCCGGGGTAGCAACCCTAACCCTGGCCGACACCATTCAAGCCTGTTTATTGTTCGAGGTCAATCCCTTTATTGCCAATGGCACCCATTTATATCTTCTGATAAATATTATTGATTGAACAATTCTCAATTTCATGCTTTCCATCAAGGCCGAAATAGCGCTCCATTGAAGATTCACCGACTGCAACTGGGGTACCTACCGAGTATCCGAACCCCCCACTGATTTTCATTGCCCTGTTGCATCGCCTCTGAATAAATATCCGGTCCAATCTTGCCGGGTTTATGCCCCTCTCTCTCTCTTATCGTTCAATTCCCACGTGTTTTTTCATGTTTTGCTTGTCATCCCAAGTCCTCGTCGATCTTGTTTCCCTTCGCAATGCTTCCTTCCCATCCATGTCTGTGTAGCAATCATGCAAACAATTCCCCCATCGAAACTCGAAACATGACGCGAGCGTCCCCTTCGTGATTGGTGTGGGGGGCAGTCATCTCGAAACACTCGCCAAAAGCGCTGCGACTTGCAAGGAAAAAGTCCGGGGTGTGGTTTGGTGGTGGTGGTGGTGGTGGTGGTGGTGCCGGTGGTGCCAAGCTTTCAGGGGCAGCTCTCAAGCAAACATCACAGTCACACTCGGGGGTCGTTTACCGGTGCGATCACGCTTTGCTTTTGGGTGCCCAGCAGCAAAGTGTTGAAACGAAACACGGGGGGGAGCCACCTTGAACGGGTGTTCGCTTCGGGGACAAGGGTTGATTGATCGTTCAACAGATCCGGGAAAGAAAGAAGCCCAAAAAAAGATCCGAGAGCCTTGGGCCATGAGAGAAAATGGGTCACGATGCCACCTCGCGTCGTCTGACGCTTGTGAGAAAACAATCCCTGGTGGCCCACGCGGGGGAGGGTGGGACAGGCATGAGAGCTCGAGAACAATCTACTTGAGATGGGGAACCCCCCTCTCGCCACACACGAAGTCTATTTCGTCGTCTTCTCTCTTTGTTTTTTCGTTTTTTTTTTTGTGTTTCCCTCATTCATCGAACAAAACTGCTGGGTAAGTTGTGTTGTGTGCTGAGTGGATCGTTTTGTCTGTTTGTTGCTTGGCTGGTCATAATATTGTCTTGCTGCTGAGCGGCAATCGAAACAAAAAGACAACCTACGGTAGAGGACCACCAACAACTCAAAAAGTCGGCCGGATTGAGGTTGGACTTTGTTCACCATCATTTATACCGTGGTGTCTTTTTATCAACTGTGCGCAACACGTTGGCAGCAAAAACAACAGACAAGATGAGGTGGAGTAACAAGCGCTCTGTCATCGGGGAGTAAGTCACCTCACCTCTTACTTCCACCTCACATATCACACACATCATCAACTGACCACCGCCACCATCATCACAGCCTCGAAGGCTGTGAAGTCGTCCGCGTCCTCGTGGGCGAGGAACAACGCGAATTCACCCTCCACCGCAAGCTCCTCTGCGACAGCTGCACCTTTTTCAGAACCAACATCGAGGCCATCCCCACCCCCTCCCCTTCCAGCGCCTCCAGTTCAGAACAAGATGAAGAAGACTCAGTCCTATGGCTCCCCTCCGAAGCACCAGACATGTTCGAAATCTTCGTCCTCTGGCTCTACCAACGCCGCCGCTTCCACACCTTCATGGACGACGTGATCCGCACCATCTCGCCCGACGAATGCCGCGCCGTCCGCACCAACCTCGTCCGCCTCCACCTCTTCGCCGCGATAATCGACCTCCCCGGCCTCCAAGACCTAGCCATGGACGCCCTGCAGGACATGTACCTCCGTTTCGACTGGGACATGTCCCCCCGCTTCTTGGCGTTCATCTACGGCGACTGCGACCCCGAACATGCGGTCAGGCTCAGAAAATGGGGAGTGGCAATGCTAGCCTGGACGCTCCACGGCGCGGAGAAGGCGTTCCTGTTAAACAACCAGATCGACAAGCTGTTTGCTGCTTTCCCGCAGCTAAAGGCGGATTATCAGCTTCATTTGGAAAAGATGCAGCAGAGCAGGGCGGACGTGAGGTTGAAGAACCCGCAGTTGCGGCTGCCGGCCAACAAACTGAGGAGCGGGGAGAGGTTTTTTGGGTTTAGGCAGTGCACGTTTCATAGTCACCGGGCGATGGTGGGGGAGGGAACCTGTCCTCACACGTTGGAGATGCAGAGGAGGCCGGAGGGGAGGCAGTCGGCTACTTGGTTTGGGAGGAGGGAGAGTCAGTATCATCGGGATGTGGGGAGTCTTGGCCGTGCCGGTGGCGGTGGGAAGGGGAGGAAGGGTGGGGATGAGGGGATGGGGATGGGGAGTGATGAGGAGAGTGATGATGATGATAATATCATCAGTCCGGTGGGGGATTTGGATTTGAATGAGATGTCTTATTTGGATTTGTCATGAGGTGAGTGAGTAAGTGTGTGTGTGTGTGTGTGTGTGTGTGTGTGTGGAATGGGGTGATGATGAACGAGCAAAGGGGAGGGAGCACAGATGAGGTGTTCAAACGATCGAGGTCGTCTTCGAGGGAACAAAGACGAGGTGGGGATGGGTTGAATACAACAATGATATTGTTCTACAGGGACCGAGGGGATCGTTTCAGGGTTCTCGCCCTCATTCTCTCTTTTCGGGGCAGCTTGGCAATAATGCGGAACAACAGCACCAGAGTTGGAGCAGACAGAGCGTGCGTGTCCGAAAGATTGCATGCACACACACACACACACACACACACACACACACACACACAGACAGGCACGCGCCATACAAGATTCGACAAGATTCGACAATTCCGCCACCTACCAAACCAACCCCCCTCCGGACCGATTCGCGAATGTCCGAGCATCGAGATATCATGATCACCAAACACGCCGGCCTGCCTCTTCGCGAAGTCGCGGCTGACAGATAGCTCGTTGGAGCCTGGTCATGTTCGTGGTGGTATTATTTATAGTGGTGGGCGGCTAGCAGGCAAAGAAAGGGACGGCGATAGAGTTTTGGAAGTTGGGATAGAGAATCTATCTACCAATAGAGAGATAGACTACAGCGACTGGCAGGCAGCCTTAGTTACTACCAGACTGTTTGTTGTAATATATAATAACACTAATCAATCAGCATGAAGAAGTACATATTTAGTACTCATCATCTTTGGCCACCAAGTGTCATTTTCTGCCAGCAGAAGGTGTTCTTTGTGTGTGGGGTTTGTTGCAAGGCTCTTAATGTGATCGGCCTTGGTGTGGGCTCTAATCGAGTCTTCTTTATCTATCTGACTATCGATCGACCCTACGGCGGGAAAGTGTCTCGTGTCTTTGCCCACCTCACATAGATACTGGTTCAATACGGCGCAGAAATGTTCTCCCAACAGCATGATTGTCCATTGAACAATGTAAACTCACAGCCGGAAAAAAAAAGAAGAAAAAAAGAAAAAGAAAAAGAAAAAGAAAGAAAAAAAGAAAGAAAAAAAGAAAGAAAAAAACCACAGTTGAGAATGCCAATTTCCTCTTTTTTTTTGTTTTTTTTTTTGTTCAGATTTCTCAGTTTTTCTCACAAATCACATTACATATCACATCACAGGTCAATATCATCAATACTTGTTGTGGTTGGGTTAAAAAAAAATCTATTGTCAGCTTTTTCTCTATTCACTGATGGACTTATCTTTTTTTTTTTGGGTTTTTTTTTTTTTTTTGTGTTATCTCATGTTAGCAGCAAACATCACCAGTCCAATGAAATGGGGGGTTTAGAAATATATGTAAGAAAGATACTCACTCACCTTCTATCCCCCAACCCCAAGTCCCTCCAGTTAGCGTCAAACTGATCAGCCTTAGCCCCGAGCCTGTTATGCATATCATGGTAGTCATCGACAATCCTTTGGACAGTCTTGTTCCACTTGGCCATAAGATCATCGTGCTCTGCAGAGGATCTACTCCCCTTGACAGGGCGGGGCACGTTTATGTGAGTAGAAGAATTATTCCACCGACCCATCAGCTCTTTTGTATCGGGAGAGACGACGACCGTGGCGTAGTCAGGAAAGCGGTTGACGATTTTGGGAGAGGTGGGCACAGTTTCCGCCATGGCAAAGGGGGGACGCCAGCCCGTGGCGTGAGCCGCCGCATGGGTGTGAGGCTTCGGAACAAGCGAGACCCGTCGAGAGGGAGCAGGCGTTGGTGTGACGACTTCTGCTGTATCACCAGCCTGCTTAGTCACAGGCCAGTCCGACTCGAAAAAGCCAGGCCCTTGACGCGCTTCGGGAGAGTTGTCCAGCGAGGCGTTCGGGGTGATTTTTTGGTTGTTCTGGACGCTGGTGAACCAGTGCTTGTCGCCCAGCTTGCGGAGAGATTTCTCGAAGAAGCCGGCCTCGCTGAAGGCGCCGCAGTCGATCATGAGGGAGATCATGTCGTAGTTGTGCGGCTCGCCAGCAAGCGCGGCATTGTGGGCATCGATGAGGTTCCAGACGACGGTCCAGTAGGAAGCATCGTCGGCTGTTGTGCAGAAGCGGAAGATGGCGAGACAGACGCTTGACCAGGCGGCGATGGTGGTTGGGTCGAAGGCGCCAGTTGCCTCGCGGAATTCGACTGTATTGTACCCCTTCCAGGCGTTTTCTGTGTCGTAGTGGGTGAAGTTGTAGTTGAGCCGATTGTAATAATCCTTTTCGTAGCTGAGAAGCTTAGCAACTCTATGCCTGGTGGTCGCACGTAGAATGTAAGCGATGCCCTTCTCCACGGTCATGTCGGCCTTTTGAATTTTGGCAAGGTCCTCAGGCTCCCTATGGACGCGAATGTTGTAAACATAAGGCCGAATACGGTCCCAGGCAGCGGCTGGAACCCGCGCTGGGCGCATGGCTGGAAACATGGTGCTGGAGCTCTCTGACCTGCCATGAAGGGCATGTCGCAGCACGGTGGAGGGTGGTGGCACGGGCACTGTTGGTGGACGAGGAGGTAAAGTGGGATCGGGAAAGCGAGTGGAAAGTTTGAACTCCTTCCTTCTGTCCCTTCCATACTCCGCATTCGCGTCGACAGGTGTGTTCTCATCCTCGAGGACCCTGAGGAATTCTTGTCCGTTGGCCAACTGACTCGTGGTTGAAACTGGTTGAGCATACGTGTTGATTTGACGTTCTGGCGGGTGGGCGCAGTACAAAAAGCGATCGGCAGCCCAAATCAAGGCGCCCGCCCTTTGAAAGGCCTCAAAGCCGAATTTGTCACTCTTCCAGTCCAACTCCCCCGTCTCGGGATCGATTTGCTCTCTTGCACCGGCACCCACGTGAACGTGGAAGCCTGTTCGGATGTTGACCCGCCAACGGAGAAGGGTGCTCAAGGCAATGACAATGTCCTGGACATGGCGATGGGCTGCAGGGCAATCCCACATGGCAGCAGAGACCAGCTCTATGCTAGATGCCTTTTGTCCTTTCGGTTCATAAACGCGGTCGTCGGTCACACTGACATCTTGATGGGCCGCCCAAGCTGTTGTCGGAGTCATGTAGATATCGGGGTGGAGTTCAGGCCCTGGCGCCTGCATCAATTCCGTACCTCTCGAGCTCGACCGCTGAAACTTGGCTCCGGGAACAGTCAGGATGACTTTCTCGAGTTTCTCCTCGATCCATTCAGTAATGTATGCATCCCAAGGTGCCTCCATGGGCTCAGGCATCAAAGCCTCCTCTTCAGGAGAAACCAGGGTGGCTGTGTTGGGAGGATCCGCGACCCATTGCTTGTGACAGATGATCACTTCCAGCTCAATGCCGAAAGAGAGTTTGTTGTCTTTGCTGCTGATAAGAGTCATCTTGACGGTGGCCGTGTGGTGATGGTGTAGCGTAGTGTTGATGTTGTAGTGTAGAGTTGATGTTGTAGTGTAGTGTTGGTGTTGTAGTGCAGTGTTGATGTTGCAGTGCAGTGTGAATGTTGTAGTGGTGATATTGTAGTGTTTGATGCGATGGTTTGTGCTGTCACCGGATACAGTGACTGTTGTTTGTCGGATGATATGGATAGAAAAGACTCGAGTCCAACCTGGCGGAAAGTCGGGTGGTTAAATAGAGATCTCCAACTGAGCGATGGTGGCAGCAGGTACTTGCATTGTTGGCATCCTCTCAAGAGTGGCGTCCCAAACACAATGCTATTGTCTCAGTCTCTGCCTGCAGTTGTCCTAAAGGAAGCAGCCCTTTGGGTGAACAAGGAGCAGCCCCGTAGAAGAATGCCATTGTTCGTCTTGTGCACTAGGCAAAGAACGGTAGCTACCCTCCAAAATCCAACGAAACCAGTTAATTCAGGGCCTCGGGTGAAAAGGTGATACATGAACCAAGCATCAACACGCGATGGCGGTGCATTTATTGAAGAGACATCATAACTACGTAAACAAAGGAAAAGACTGCAGATGAAGCTTCATAGAAGCTCCGTTGTTGACACTCGGGTCAAGAACATGCTTTTTATATACATGAGAGAGACGTCATCCAAGGAAAAGATTTCTCGAGAAGAGTGAAACACTATGCGTGGGTAATGTGTATGGGTATCATCATGTCGTACAGATTCGTTAGGAAAGTGGCGTTGTGGTCGTTGTCATCGTAGTTGGTCGTCGTTGTCGTCTCATTCATGACCGGTATATCGTTCATCGGAAACTTTCTGGTCTGGCCTTCATACCAGATTGCTGATTCAGAGGAGGGCAAAAGCCAAGGCAGCTCCAAAGACAGTAGCCATCAGGCCAAGTCTCGAGGTTGAGGTGTGGTCCGCCCCGTTTTCAGCCTCCACTAGGGGAGAGGTCTCTGTAGGCGCAGAGGTGGTCTCTGTTGGGGAGCTGTCGTCACCATCCTCCACGTCGGTGGTAGTGGTGACAATCACCACTGGAGGGGCAGATGGCTCCCCTGATGGTGCAGCCGTGGGTGGAGAGCTGATGAATGAAGTCGACGATGCCGAGTCCAAAGAGGCAGAACTGGCATGGTCGTGATCTTTGGCATCGACAGCACACTCGCACACTGCACATCATGTTAGCACCCAATCAACCCACTCAAACCAAGCTTTCTTTGTGGAGAGAGAGAGAGAGAGTATCCTTACCAGTCCCAACACCATCAATCACCTTCTCGTATTCTGACGCCTCGCATGCATCAACAACACATGCCTCCACTGATGCGTAAAATGCTGCTTGCTTCTTGCACTGGCAGACAAAGTCCAAGCCATCGCAGCCGATAGATGGGGCCTGCTCCAGAAAGCAGGTTTTGGCGCAATCGGGAATGGCCACGAGGGCAACAGAGAGGCAGTCCCCGCTGTCATGTGCCTGGATGCCAACGGTGAGCAGCACCACCAGCGTGAGGTACCAGTGGAGCTGCCTCACCGACAGCACCGAATACATTTTGATGTTCATAGTTTGTTGTGAAGAAGACCCAAAGGCCTCTCGGGTTAGGGAGAGAAAAGAGAGGTCAGGAAAGATTGGGCAGCGGGCAAGCGGTGAGCTTAAGAAGGGAAAACCCAGAGGTGGCAGCTCATGGTGGAGACTCCACTTCGTGATCGACTCACCGGCGGTGGACAGCCGAGTGGTTGGATAAAAGTGTTTAGGTCGTCAATAAAAGCTCAACGGGGTTAGGCACCTTGCTTTCAGAAAACCGCCTCCGTTGAGACTGTTTCCCAACCATCCCCCAACCACCTATCCGCTGGACAACGACCGGCTTGGCAGGCTCGCTAATCTGCATTTACAAGGTCTTGAAGCATGGATTGGGTATTTTTGTTTCCTTTTGTTTCTCACCGCTTGTGCGATCAGGATTCAATCATAAAGATGAAAGTTCTCTTGCTTCGATTCTTGAAGCCAGAACCGCGGCATATCGAAACTGGCGCCTGAGAAGAAGGAAGAGAAAACAAAAGGGTTGATTGGGACCCCCGCATATGCTGGTGTGGGTCTTGACAACTCACCTGCATTTTTGGGGACCATCGAGGATATCACCATTGGCCATTTGCCACCCGCCGAGGTAGCCATCGAGGGTCCGGTGATAGTTGAGGGATGAATGAGTGGAAAGAGACTGGTTGAGATCAAGAGGCCATGTTATTAACTGGGAAAGCTGGCCTTATGAGCACTCACCCTGATGACGGTGGTGTAAGTGGTGACCCATTCAGATAAGCTATTCGGCCCCTGCATCCGGCCCGGCCGCAGTGGTGCACTGGTCATGCTGCCGGCTTCGGCTCGGGAGCTGCACTGTGATCAATCAGCATGACGTGAAGATGCGCCGTACTCGGGCGCTGGGCCTCGGGATTTGGGGTTGATTTGACACGTTGATATCGTTCACGCCAGTGTTGAACCGCACAAGCTTTCAACATCAACGGTTGTAAGCCGGACACGAAGATTAACTCAACGGTGTTTGGCGTGGGCTAGTGATGGAAGTTTTTGTAGATGGGTTTTGAAGATGAGATGTTGCCTGACATCCACACTCATGAGTTTCAAAGTTGAAAGGTTGAAGGAATTACTCTCTGGTGATAGATATGCACAATCACACTTGCCGAATTGGACTTCACTCCTCATTTCCCCCCGCACTTGGAGCATGACCCATCATCAAATCATGTCTACTACTGTGTTGAGTAAGACAATTCTGTTGAGACACAATAAAATACCAAAAAAATAAATAAATAAGTAAATAAATCGAAATACTATTATGAACTTTGAGAAAACAGACAACCAAAGTCTCAGCGGTCAAGACATCAATGTGAGGTCAAAGTTGCGTCTTGATGTCAACTCTGCCGCAGCAATAAGCAGACTAAGGCCATGCCAATCAGCAGCACCTATGCATCCATCGACCTACTGGAAGTGGGCAGGTTTGATCGGTGATATCACAGCAGCACAGTGTCAATACGAGGGTGGGGAGGAGAACAAAGAGCCACTCACCCAACACCCACTTTGTCCTGATTTCTCCAGGACAATACTCGCTCGACCATCACCCCGTCTTTCACCAGTCAAGTCCCGTGGTTCACAATGGGGTCTGTTGGAACAGGTACGCGAAATAAGGTCTCTGGAGGGGAGGAGGAGGAGACGATCAATGTCTTGATCACCGGCTTTGCTGTAAGCTCACCTCATTCACTCCCCCGCACTTCTCTCACTCTCACGATACCTATGCCATGAGTTTCGAACCACACACGACCACCACATCTTCAATCCCACTGACCTTCTCCCCCCTCAGCCCTTCCGCACCAACTTCCCCATCAACCCCTCCTGGGAAATCGCCAAATCCCTCCCCGAGTACCTCCCACCCCCACCAACCCCCTTCAAAGGCATCCCGGGCCACGTCCCTCCCCCCGGCACCGCCACAGGAACCATCCCCACAAATCCCACCAACCCCCCAATCCCCCTCCCCAAAGTCCGCCTCCTGGTGCACCCCTCCCCCATCCACGTAGGCTACCGCGCAGTCCGCAACCTCGTCCCCTCCCTCTGGCACCTCGACTCTCCCTCCACCCCCAAAATCGACCTAGCAGTCCACATCGGCATGGCCGGCCCAAGAGGCTTCTACTCCATCGAGCGCCGGGCCCACAAATCAAACTACACCATGGGCGACGTAGACAACAACCTCCTCTCCGACCTCGACGACGAATCCGCCCCCCACCCATGGCAAGACCTCCCGGAAGAGCTCCTCTCCGACCTCGACATGGAAGACGTCTTGCAAAGATGGAGAGACCACTCCCCGCCCTACTCCGACTTGAGAATATCCGAAGATGCCGGGCACTACCTCTGCGATTTCATCTACTACAGCAGTCTGGCGCATCTGGTCAAGAATAACCCTCACGAAAGGAAGAGGGTCGTCTTCTTGCATGTGCCTAGCGAGGCTAGCCCCGCGTGGGTCAAGGTCGGGAGGGAGTTGTGTCTCAGTTTGGTGAGGGGGATGGCGGAGAGTGAGGTTGTTAGGAGGGAAAGGGGGTTGAAGGTGGAGGACCACCAGGAAGAAGTGGGGGAGTTGTAAAAAAGGGGGGAAAGGGGAGGGTTGGTTTCATATATGGTTGAATATCTGTGTTTGGTTTGTTTTGACTGGGGTGTGTGTGTTGTTGTTTGACTTGTGTGTGTGTGTGTGTGTGTGTGTTTGTAACTGCGCTTGGTTGGGTACCTGCATGTTACGGATGAGAGAATGTCTAGGTAAACACAGAGCGAACTGCGTGTGGATGCAAACCTGGAATGCCGAATTGTTGGGATATCTATGACCAAGGATTGGTCAATAACACTCTCCTGCCACAATTCTCAGACTGACTGGTGTTGCATTCTTTTTTTTCTTCTTCCGTCCCCATATCCCGAGTATTACCTGTACTATTCAACTTCTCTTCTCCCATCTAGTAAAATTCAACATCACAGTATCCAACTCCTCACAAATGCTTATCCTACATATTCACCCCAAGACAAACAACCAAATACCCCCCTTTTTTTGAAAAAAAAATCCCAAAAAATCCCCCCCCCCCC